ATACACCTATTTCAAAAAACGTTGTCGTCGCCAGGACACAGTCCACGGTCTTAAGCCTGCAAAGAATCTTGGGATTGCCATATATAATTATATATTCAATTTCAGTTATTCAAAAAACTCCGACTTAGAGTTCTAGTTTGCTCTGTGTTAGCCTCAAAACCAAGCAACATATTCTTTTGTTTCATTGATAGCCCCAGAAAACGCATGAAATTTGAAAAGAGAGACAATAGAATCGATCTCACACTTTTATTCTCACAATTACTCGAGTAATATTTTACGCACAAATGAGTCTGACTCAGAGCATTGGAGATTTCGAAACTGGATTATTCTCGGTCTCGTAAAGAATATAGCTTTAAAACTCATCGACGGTTTGAAAACGTGGAATATTTTTCAAGGAAAACGTCTCATGGCGATACTTGTTCGATGGGTATAACGCCCGAAAAAGTAATTAATAGTGTTTGCCGCCATTGAATTCAAACCACAATATATTTGAAATATATTAATTACGCATCATGGAAACCCCGAGATTCTTTGCAGGCTTAAGACTGTGGACTGTGTCATGGTGACGACAACGTTTTTTGAAATAGGTGTATAGGTTGCACACTTAGAGTTTGTACTCTATTGATCAAATCATCTAAGGATTCCTCATGAAATTTAGATTCCACAATAGCACAAATAGTCTTTCCGTAATTCACGAATGAGAGTCATATCGAATGTAGGTTCAGAAGCGCAAGTTTAGACAATCAAGAAGTCGATATAATAACAATGGCAGCAATAAAAGAAGACTTTTAAGGAGTGCATTTGTATTTAAAAGGGTGCGGATTATAATAACAAACTTTCAAAACTCAAAAAGATGTGTTAGAGGTGTCAATGTATAGGGCCATTACTCCCATGGACTGTTCCTATAGCAGTGACATATATTTGTTCGCAGGTCATAGGTGTCAAAACTCCCAATACCAATGCAAGAATGGCCAATGTGTTAGCAAACGTTACCGGTGTAATGGAATTAAAGACAGTTGTGTGGATGGCTCAGATGAGACCGGCTGTGTATGTCTTACTGGTCAGTTCACGTGCTTCGATGGATCATGCATTGATGTCACTGACCTTTGTAGCGGAATATCAAACTGCAAAGACGCTGAAGATGAAATGYGGTGTGGTGAGTAAAGGTATAGTGATATTTATACATACCTTTTTAATAAGCCCTTATTCTTTTTCATGCTAGAAGGTGACCCTTGTCAGCTAAGTCAATGCATTGATGGGAAATGTCTAACTTCATCATCACAATGTCAAGATGCGACATACAATATCTCTGAATGCTGTATGTATATCTTTGAGTATGCATTGTGGTTAAATTATGTCCTTTAAACATTGTTTAGAAATATAAAGGAAAGTTACAGTGCTAAGAAGGAGGTTATTCTGGGAGGAAGATCCTTGGAAATAAATTCGGAAAAATTAATTTCCTACCTCGCTGGGATTCGAAAGCACGACCCTCGGATTGATTTCCAAGGGTCTTTCTACCGGAATAACCTCCTTCTAAAAATCACTACTACTTTCCTTGATTATCATGTTTCTCATATAACTATATAACCATGGAATTTAGCTTCTAGTATTTCAGTTTTCAAAATAATTACAACAACACGGCTGTAATGCTTTATCACGTTTCATAATATCCACAATAGTTTTCATTGTCGACATTGTCGATTACAACATAAAATTTTTAATTGATGTTTATATAACTATTTCAGGAAAGGTTGTCGKATTTTGTTTGTCAAAACAGTGTAATCATAGTCCATTTCGGTCGTGCATTCTCCCTTCGACAAACGCCGTTCGCCATTCTCCCCGACAACGTTTTTTGAAATCGTGTATACAYATTTTTCATATTTCTGACCGCTCCAGAGAAATTATGGTTATGGACATTGAATAGAGYGATWAGCAATGTGTAGTCGTTTTCGTTTGAAATGGAACATAATTTAGCTGAGAAATTCACAAGCTAAATTCTTTGAATGTGTCATTCCACCTTTTATTCAACAAATATTAACAGCATTGTTATATAGGGGAATCAAATACTTACCGAAAGAATATCTGTAGAGAAAAGAATGCAAATTGCAAAACTACAAAAGGTAACATGCAGAAAATGACCTTTTTACATTGCTGCCTGTTTCATTTGAGCTTATTTAACCTTTTAAAACCATTTTAATCTACAAAATAGCCCTTTTGTTCTGCTTTCCAATGGTTAGCCGAGTGAAACCATTAACACCGCAGTTGCCAACATTAGAGCAGGTCATACACACTCGTTGTTTAATGTCAGGATAATTGCACATATTTTCAAGGATGAAAGATACCTTACAATTGATGAAAGCCTTGACTTCATGTAATGTCATTGTAATAGTAGCATTAAAAGAATTCATCTCACAGGAACCTGTGGGTTTGAAAATGGACCTTGTGGAATGGAGAATGAAAATGGCTGGAGTTACTACACGCCCAACAGCAAAACCTCGTACAAAACCTTTGATCATTCCTTTTCAGAAGGAGGTACCGAAAGCTATTATACTTTGGAAAAAAATTATAATTAATTTTTTTGCTCCATTGAAAAATTATAGTGTGAGCCCTACTTTTTGCGAAGTCCAATTACATTAATTCATGACATTTTCGTATTAATTCTATCAAAGGTAGCTACTACATTGCACGTCCCACTGGCAACCCATCTACAGTCAGCAAATTGTCCATGCAATGGTCCCAAACCAAACCTTATTGCATGCAGTTTTGGTACAATGTCCCTGCTAAGTCTTATTCTTCGATTCAAATTTGTACGGAAGAAAATAATTCAACCATTTGTCTTTGGAGTATGCCCAGTAGCATTACTGATGAATGGACATTTGGGCAGGTTGAAATACCCGGGAATTTTAAAGGAAACGTAAGTAGTTCACAGGTCGATTAAGGTGCACGACAAAGCCAAAATTCAGCATACATGCATATATGATATAACATCAATAGGAAATTGGCACGATGTTCGGATACACATTTAATTATAGATCGTCATAAATAACTCGACTACAAACTCTTAAATGAAAATACCTCAAAGTTGGTTTGACATTTGTAATCTGGGATTTCCCCTAATAGTTGCAGATCATTGGTAACGTARCCAAGGGAGATTTTGCAGCGATTGATGATCTCAGTTTTATCGAATCGCCTTGTTCTTCAGTTGCAGTTCAGAGTAAGCATATGTTATTTGCAAGTRACAAATTTCTAGAAAAGTGGTTTTAAGGTTTTCTAAGCTGACTGRGGTATCCTCATAGTGCATAYGGTTGTTTATATGTTATTTTTACTTCTAGAAAATCCTTCATGCTATTTTGATGGTCGTCAATCGTGTCACATGAACATCGACAAATCTTGGGTTCGAACAATGCACAAGGATCGACAAGGTACAGAATGGAATKTTCTCAAATTCAMATGTGAATTATGATAGACATGCAACGGAAAAAAACATGTCTCTATGTTGTTATACTTATACAGGCGAGAGCAACTTCTATTTACGTCTGGCGATTTCAAACAATGTATCTAGCACGATATCAAGCTCAGATTTAAATCCAAAATCAGATGGATGGAAATGCTTACGATTGTGGATGAACAGTGARAAAAGATATTTTCCTGTGAAGCTGAATATAACATATAAGAGCCTGGATTATTCGAAAGAGGTTTTTAGTTATGCATCAGCTACACCTGGTTGGATTTACATTCAGACATTAATAGCAGCAGAAAAACATAATGTTCAGGTATTTTTTAATTATGTATTGGGATTATTTAGGATTGTTGGGAGAACACTCGGTTTTGAGCTCGGAATGTACTAACTATTRCCCTGCATTGGTCAGTGATGAGCTCTGTTAGGATCATCGCTCTTTTAAAATATTTGATAAAGATCATCATCATTAGTAATATAAGTATAAAAAAGAGCTAATAAGGATGTTTCATCAGAAATAAAATTTTATGCATTTGACTAATAATTTCTTATTAGWATCTATTGTTCATTACACCAAAATAGCAACCGGTCTTTTATCATTTGATCTCATGGGAATGGTTGAAAGCGATCSATTAGACATTCTCATTAATCATGYATGAGGTTCTGRTRTCATATCATTTGATTGGTTGATTGAGTGGTGCATCTATTGTTTATCATGGCTCTATTTTTCAAGGCTGTAATTGAAGGAGAAAGAAATAAGTATGCCGCGCTATCAGTAGATGATATCGCTTTTTCAAAATAYCAATGTCAAAGTATTCCAGGTCAGTAACAATTGACGTGATAATGGAAATAATAAAACAAAGCAGTTGATTTTCTTTATTTTTATATACAACAGCATAATAATATGCTTATTAGATCCTTTTAAAATATCTTCTTTATCTAAAAGTTAAATTTATACTTCTAATCAGACATCACTTCAGGCAAAGAGTGCCTTGAATATAGCATATTGGACTCGCTTGATCGAAGRAGGGATCGCAAYGGCCGARGGGAATCTTCAGACGACAGCAGCCTTTCAACTACATCATGGTATCGCATTACTGGATTGTCGGGCAATGCAATTGCTAAAGAGTGCAATTGGAATTCTACTTATGCTTGCTATGCACACTTCCAGGGTTGGGTCAATGAAGCTATGCCCACTGTGTCCGAGGGTCGTGTTAACAGGACAATGTGCTTTCGTGATGGAAAGACTAAAGAGTGTTGTTTTATTACTAGCATTATAACTGTTCGCAATTGTGGTGACTACTTTGTTTATCGTTTTCCGAAATTTAACATTCTAACAAGAGCGCATGTTCCTGGTCATGCTGTGAGAGCTGGAAAAGTCTGTACCGAATATAGTGAGTATTGAATCACGATCATTTTAAAATCTTCGTCATATTGCTATTTTATTTTTAAAATATTCGGTATTCGCTTTATTTTGCTACTAATTGTTTTGATACAATATAGAAATGAAATAAAGTTATAGTGCTTAGAAGGAGGCAATTCCGAGGGAAAGACCCTAAGGAATAAATTCGGAAAAATTAATTTCTGACCTCGCTGGAATTCGAACCCAAGACCTTCGGATTTGTACTACCGATGCTCTACCAGCTAAGCTACAAGGCCAGACTGGGAGCAGGTCGGGGTGAAATAGATGTAAAGGTTGCGATAATAGAATAATGTAAAGATATGAATATGAGGACCGCATGGCACTATGTTAGACACGATATAGAAATGAAAGAAAGTTATAGTGCTTAGAAGTGGGCGATTGTTTTGATAGTTCACTTTTGATATTCTGGTTGACTAAGGGACCYATCATATTTATCGCCAGGGATAGGGCGGGAAATTTAGAGTGGTGCAAATCATTTTTGCAGTTCAAAAAGGGATTTACACTTACTGTGYATGTCAAAGGAGTGGGATATAAAAGAATTTGAAGAATTTTTATCTTCCACGACACTTGCATATRAAAATCGAGAAGAAAATTTGCCGAAATAGAATTGATTAATTGAAATATTTTTCAAATAGGTGCGAAGAAACTAACAATTACCWCAGAATGGGAAAACTGGACTAACCTTTCATCAACGGTGCAGCAGTGGAGAATCCTCAATGAGCAGCAGTTTATTTCCTTTTCAAAATCTATTCTTGTTCAGCAAGGTATAATACGTTTTGATGCTGGAAGCAAATATCCCAAGCCGGACGGCTTATAAGATTGTTTTTTTTTGGAACAAGGGATAAAGGGTTTGCGTACAGAGGGAAACTGTAAGCGAGTTATATGGAAATGAACATAGGGTTTGAAATTCAAATGGTTGAAGTAATTTGTTGACTACGATCAATTGTTCCAATTAATCTCACCTACGTTGAATGGTAATTAGAAACGAGTTCATCTTATTTTTTTGCCCATGTTTATCAAAAACACATAATTAAATGCAACTCTACATTAATAGGAAAACTTGAAGCGCGTATTTTTAAAATGTTTTGATATTTCATTCAACAAGTGTTATTTGTTATTTTAAACTTAGAACCGACACGGATAAAAAACACCTTATGAAGTTTGTGTCGCCAAAAAGAGYTAACTTCCTTATCTTACTCTATCTAGATCTTCGAGCTGTGAATCCTAGCATTGGAGTTCTTGTAAATCGTTCAGCCTCTTTTGATGTACCGATAAAACCAAATATTCAAACATTTACAATGTGTTTTTGGATATCTGTAAATGACAATTTTTCGAAGCCCATTAGAATTTCTATGAAGACAGTCCCAGCAGTTCTATTGGATTTGGTCACTCACCGGTATGTTATATGAATAAACAAAAAAAGTTATGAGTAACGAAAAAGCAACACTGTTTTATAAATGTCCCTATGATGGCAGGTCGGTTTGGAGGCACTTCTGTATTATGTCCCAGTATGGTGTGTACTTGATTTATGTGGACGGAGTGGCAAGCAAGACAGTTTATGGACCCCGCAAGCTCCAAAGTAAGATTTAATGTCTAAGCCCATGTCTTCTGCCAAGCCCCTATTTACATGAAATATTGAGYCCCTAAGTAGCTGTAGTCAATATCTTTTGCTCCAAATCCTCCAAGTAAAAGAAAACATCCTATCTCATGAATGAATCTATCGAAAACAATCCATAARCAAGAAAAGTAAATCTTAAAACTAAATTAATATCCACACTGAAGTGAAAATTTGTCGGATGTTGACACTTAATAGAAACCGACATTGTTGCTAGATTGAGCAAGAAATTGAAGAAAAGATGGACAAGTTAACTTTTGCTCTATGAATTACAGTCACTCTAATTTCATAAAGGTCTGACAATTTGATTTCCTTTTACTCATTTCCATATTTAAGGTGCAGTAATAGCTGTTTCCATCATCTCATCTGAARCTATACATGTCAAGCTTACTGATGTAAATGTTTGGGACACGTTTCTTGTTGAACAAGTCATTTTGTATATGTCGTACAAATGTGGAGCAGACAGAGGTAACATGGTTGTGTGGGAAGAGCTCGCAAAGAATCTAACAATAGTTTCCAGTKCCAATACGTCCGTCACATATTATGACAGAACATCTTGCGAGGGCAGACAAGGTACATATCAAGTAATTCCGCATATCTTGTCTACTGAAGGACATACATATACACCTACTTGCGAAAACGTTGTCATAAAAAATAGGACATTTGTATTTTAGTAAAAAGGAATAAATTAAAAAGACAAAAGAAGATMACTGAGTCTGAACGCTTTCTTTTGTTTTGTTTTAATTTATTCCTTTTTACTAAATTCGAATGTTCTATTTTCTATGACAACGTTTCTGCAAGTAGGTGTATACTTGTCTTTTTATTTTCCCACTATAATAAAAAAAGAGTGCTGGGATAGTGAATTGTGTAGTCAAATGCGCTAGGAAGTGTATTGATCCTATTACTTAAAAATGGTGGGAACTTACAATAAACTAGTGCGAGCTCGGTGTTTCTAAAGAAACAGTTGTGTAAAGATATAAATTTAACACCGTAAAAAAGTGGGTGAAATGACGTTTCGGATGTTAATCCTTCGTCGGAGTAAAGAGATGAAACTAGTTTGATCGTATTATTCCATTGATCCTATTAGKTTCCACCCAATTTGCAGTGAAAATAGATACAAATTGCACTGCCGACGCAATAATTAGGAGCTTTTCAAATCAGTTCTAACCATTTGCATCTGAATCGCCGAAAAGTTTTTAAGTGTTGTTATTTCATACTTGATTCAGTTTTCTTTGTTATTCATAGTGTTRTATCTCGCTTATTCCCCAGCTCGTTGTGTATTCAAGTGCTTTATAACGAAGTTTCAGGGATATATCTAGATATCGCCCCCATTTGACTAATGTATATTGCCCTTGAATACCTAATTAACTACTACGTTCAACTTAGAAATTTTCCGTCTGAAACTTTAAACTTGAAAGAAAGAAAGAAAAATTTAAATGACACCAAGTAGATTCGAACCCACAACCTTAGCTTTGAAAATCCTATACTTAACACGTTATGCTAACTGACTAATCGATGTCAGTTATGGGACTAACGAGAAAATTGGTTATGCAAATTATTCCCGTTGGGAATGGTCAATAATGTAAATTTCGTAACCTTTCTAATCGAGGTTTTGGTTTTTAATTCATATGAAAACGGCTTCTTTGCCTATTTAAAAATGAAAATATTAATGCAGTGCTTGGAAAACTTCTTCAAGTATGAAATAAGCCCTCGGGATGTATTAGGCTGCTTGCCTCCGTTCTCGGTATGTAACTCTTACTTTGCATAAGCTCATATATTGGTRCGTATTTTAACTTGATCGCTTCACAACAAAAATGATTGATAGTTTCGATTTTTACATTTGAGGTAGTAGAATTAGGTGTGAAATGTTTCTATGTATTTTGRTTTGATCTCACAAGGCATAGTTGTAACACGACCATGTTTCAGGAAACGTGCTTAGCGTTGTGTCCAATGCAACTACACCGTCCTCATCAAAAGCAGCAATTCTAAGCCCTCGTTATCATTTACCACTTGCATGGGTCAAATCATCATCAAGATGTCTAAGATTTAGATATCGCCTTTGGGGCCCTGGAGCTAGAGTACTGAAACTGTATCAAGTCTTMGACGACAAAATGCTCCCAAGAAGGAAAATATGGATGGATGGAGACAGTAGTTCAGGTTGGAAAGAGGGCCAAGTCACTCTGTCGGCTGTAACCAGATATCAGGTAATGCCCTATCGGTCGAGCAGCCATATTGAATAAAAGAATTAAAGATTCTGACAAATTGAAGATTCTTGAAAATGAAATCATGATAAATTATCATTTTACTATGAAGATGTACATGAAATTATTGAACTTCTGAATTCATTCCCTTGGTTACCACTCACATCCTTGCTTCTTTGTCACTCTGTAGATAGCGATCGAGGGACACGTTACCAATGGGTCAGGCCTGATATCAATAGGAGCTTTGTATACAACTGAAGAAAGCTGTGCTATTTTACCTGCTACTGCAAATAAAGGTATACATAAATGAATAAAAAGCAACGAGCAAACCTGCAGTATCCTCAGTGGCTTTTTGTRGTCTTCGATCGATATCTGTATCAGTGTTTTGTTGAGAGGAATATTRTTGATTGCCTTTCATAAAGAATGATTCAAAACCGACTGCCATCACACTTGGAGATCGATATCAAACGAACACTTGAAGATCAAATCCGTATCACTGGAAAAAATCGCGCGATTTAAAGGTTGTAAATTTGATGTATATATGATGTTAGTGTCCAAAATGATGTAAATTTGATGTAAATCATTTCCATCAAATTTACATMATTTTGGACACTTACATCATATTTCCATCAAATTTACAACCTTTATGGCGCGCGATTTTTTCCAGTGTATCTCCGCGTGCACGTTCTCTTATGCCAAATATCCTTTATATTTGAAATTATATTTTGCAACATGATCAAAATAAATCATTATCTACACCTTGTATCATCGATCCTATTTAGCATGCAATGAAGTCTTTACAAGCACCTCTGGTATCATCATGTCTCCCTACTATCCTGGTTACTACATCAACAACATGAGCTGTAAATCGACTATAAAAGCCGAGGAAGGGCACGTGATTCGTTTAGATATTGTTGAGTTTGAGCTGGAGATAAGCAAACGATGTGAAAGTGACTTTGTTGAGGTGTTTGATGGAAGTTCGCGGATTGGTCGCTTTTGTGGTATAAGGTAAGGTCACTAAACAACATTGAAAGCTGGAAAATCAAAAAGGAATTGAAAATTTATAATAAGCCGTATTTGTTGAGCTTGTGCTATGTGTAGTTTTTGTATTTTTTTTCTATTTAAATAGATTTCCTGAATTTTTTATTTGAAATATCATAGTTCTTCAAATTGATG